AGAAATATAATAAATAAATAGGTTAATATCGTTTTTAGTCTTGTGACTAAATGTCATGAGGGAATGAGTCATCTTATGAAGATGTTGATTTTCCATAATCTTCTAGTATACGTACTTGTCATAACTTGACACGTACCCCTTAACATGGTCATATTTGAAGGATGGGTGGACATACTTGGCCTAATTATCGACATCATGAAATGGATGAAAGCTTTTGGAACATGTTAAAAAGGACCTTATTCTTATCTTTTATTTTATGAAAAATACTTGTGTCCACCGTATGTTAGAACTTACTTGTCTGTCCACTTGTAATTAACTTATATTTATTATGCAGCCGTCATTATATAAATCATTCATACTCTTTATTATCATATCAATATTAAATCTGATAAAGAAAAAAAAAGTCATTCATTTCAGAGTTTATTGGGTCATTCATATACATCAAACAAATAGATAGTTCATCGCGAGATCGCTACTAAATAATCTAAGAAAAACCTAGCTCAAAACGTCGATATTTTGGTGACGTTATTTTGGTTGGGCACTAAGTTTTGCGTCAACCATTCAGGCATTTTGTTGAATAAGTTATGAGTACCAAGAGTCACGAACTAGGAAAGCAAGGGGTCATCGAAGGTGCTTCCCAATCAATTTTCTCAGTCTCAAAGGAGTCACCTGACACTCGTCCCTTAGTGAATCCACCACAGTGACAATATATACACACAACAAAAATTGAAAATTAACATAGTTCTACTTTAGGGTATTTTAACACTAGGAGATACCAAAGAAATCACATATGTGGATCACATGTAACCCATCTCTCTAATAAAAGTAAGACAGACCAATAATCATGTACAAATATATATCACTTTTATTAAAAAAGTGTTTCACATGTAATTTACAAAACATAGAGTCTCTAACATTTTCCTTTAGCACCGTACAAAAATGATAAACGACGATACGTACGTTGCTAGATTTATAGTTCGATTAAAAAAATATAGGTGTAACTTTATTCTCTTGTATGGACCTCCCGATTAGAATAATAACAAATATGAATAAATTAGTTAATTATAAATGGAATATCAGCTTTGGTAATTTTTCTTTTGGCATAAATCAATTAAACCCATTACAACCCCACAAGGATCCATATCATATTTGTTATTTAGTTGTTTGGATCTGTATTCCCGTGCATGAATACGTAGTTGTTAGATTTTGTTATCCATCACCTACTGCAGACGTTAATATCATTTTATAATATATATACACACACTACTTTATTTTAAATAAAATAAAGGTTGCTACCCAACCTTTATTTTATTTTAAATTCTAATGTATTCAAATCTCTTTAAAAATGATTGAAAACGTTTTTTATGAGAGTACTTTTAGAATCAATCATTAGTAAAAATGCAAATAAATCTTCAAAAAGCACTTGAAGTGCTTCTTGCAAGACAAAAAATACTTTCACCAAAAGCGCCTTAGTAATTTAATAGTACTTTCAGACAAGTCCTTATAATTTACAAAATTTGATATGTTTGGAGAAATATTCAAAAACAACAAAATGTGTCTAGAATTAATATATCACAGAAATAATATATCAAAGACACACCAATTTTTTATTTTTATTTTTTTATGTATTTATCAAACTATAATTACAAAAATGTAGAAATTCCTATACTACAAGAAGTTTGCCAAATATTTTTCTTTTTGTAAGTTGGTTGTAACCACCATGGACCAACTTTTTTTTGTATGTAATTATTTCTCACAACCCTTATCACATCCTGGCCTGGGCCCCACCACATCTCGGGTTCGACTCTACCGTAGCACGATATTGTCCGCTTTGGGTCCTGACCACTCCCTCATAGTTTTGTTTCTGGGAACTCACACGAGAACTTCTCAGTGGGTGACCTATCTTGGGAATGCTCTCGCCCCCTTCTCGCTTAACTTCGGAGTTCGTACGGAACCCGAAGCCAGTGAGCTTCCAAAAAGCTTCGTGCTAGGTAGAGATGAGAATATACATATAAGGCTTACATGATCCACTCCCCTGGGCGATGTAGGATGTTACAATCCACCCCCTTAGGGGCCCGAGCCCAACTCCACTGTAGCACGATATTGTCTGCTTTGGGCCCCGACCACGCCCTCACGGTTTTGTTTTTAAGAACTCACACGAGAACTTCCCAGTGGGTCACCTATCCTGAAAATGCTCTCGCCCCCTTCTCGCTTAACTTCAGAGTTCCTACGGAACCCGAAGCCAGTGAGCTTCCAAAATGTCTCGTGTTAGGTAGAGATGAGAATATACATATAAAGCTTACATGATCCACTCCCCTGGGTGATGTGGGATGTTACAACCCTAGCTAATCAATCACCACATTCCAATGGCAATCGAGTAATACCCCAGCGAAATATGGGCATTCTCAAACATCCGCAATAATTAATTAAAGGAGAAATTAGGTTCACATTCTTCTTTTTGCTATTCCATTGATTAAAATCCTATTCATTTTCAATTTTTGATCAAGGTCCTTAGGTATTAATAACATTATTAATTATTTGAATAATAAAATATTTTTATTTTAAATATATTCCTTTGTGTTAAAAATGTTACAATTAGCATATTAAAATTTATGGCTAAATTTTTTATCATATATTTTTATTTTTAGTTTGTACCTATTTTTAATTTGTACCAATTTTTTTTCATTTTTAATTTGTACCCATATATTAGTTTCTTTTTGTGCCCATATTTTTTAAAGTTTTATTTGTCACATCTCGGCCTAGGCCCCCACCACATCCCTGGCTTGACTCCACCATAGCATGATATTGTCCGTTTTGGGCACCGACCACTCCCTCACGGTTTTGATTATGGGAACTCACGTGTGGCGTGGCGGCGTTTGGGCCGAGGTGTCCCCTGACCCTCCTAGGACTAATTCTTTACCATCACTACACTTTATGGCTTCGTCACCTTCCAGGTGTCGGCCAGCACAACTCGGTTCGGAGTCCTAATGGACATTTCGGGTCGTGGTGTGTCATTATTTGTGTTTGTACCCATGTGTATACCATCACGTTACATTGTATATTTAATTAATGATAGAAAAATTATATATGGTATATTTATGTTTTATGACTAAACTTTGTATCATATATTTATATTTTTAGTTTGTACCCACTTTTAATTTGCAACATTTTTTTTAAATTTGTAGTATTTTCTTTTTAGTTTTATTTTGTACCCATGTATTAATTTTTTTTAGCGCCTATATTTTTTTAAAATTCATTTGTACTCATAATTTTTTAATCTTTTATCTGTACCCTAATTTATTTATAATGTACCCATTCTTCTTTATTAATTTACCACTTTGTTATATGTGAAATGTACCAACTTTTTTAACACTACGGATACATTCTTTTGCCATTTATTATTTCTTATTTTTACATAGTTTTTATCCATTTATTCAATCAAAATGTTTGAATTTTTTTTATTGTAACCTTTTCTAATAGTATTATAATGAGGGATTTTAAATTTATAGGATTATAAATCTCATAAAATATCAAACAATTAATGTCAAAAGTATAAAAATATAAATATTAATTGTAATAGAATGAGGTGTACAAAGTCAAGGGACTTTAATCAAAATTTGAATACCATTAAGGTTTTAGTCAAAGAATGTTAAAGATTAGGGACCGCATCCAAAGTATCCCTTAATTAAAACATTCAATGGCTAATCAGTAGCTGCTGAGAGATTTTTCAGTGTGACCGTCACACGAAGTGGTACACCACATGTCCCTATATAAATGGTGGATTATGTGTGTTAAAAAGTTAATAACTTAAATATTAAAAAATTTCACCACTTGCATAAAAACACATGGTGTACCATCCGTATTCTCGTCACAATTAAAAATTTCTCCAGCCGCTGGCTGACCATATACTTTCTCCCCTTTTCTCTCTCTCGTAACCTTTGCATTGAATTCCTCTTGGCCTCTTAGCTGCTGGATATATAAACAGACTTTGGCAGAGAAATCGAAAGAGGTGGGATTGGATGAGAGAGAGAGAGAAATTTAAACAAAAATAGGCAAATATCGATCAAAATTTGAATCACAAAGAAAAAAAATATCGAAAGCAAATGGAGGGGTTACAACGTTGTAGATATTGGTTTAATGGAGTTTATTTCTTTTTCCATTCTTTGAGGTTAGTACTATTGATCCTATAAATCTTATACATCAAGATTTTTGGCCGTTAAATCTTGTTTAATGGAACTTGAGTAAGAATTTAACTTGCAAAATTTTTGGTGTATATATTGCTAGGATACTGGGGAGCATATTAAAAACTCTTACGAATTTGACATGTGACGAAAATTGCTAGTTATTAGTACGAAAATTGGTAGTTATTTGTAATTTTCCCTTGTTATGTAATTTGCCTTTGTCTGTAGTTCTGCGGGCATAGGTAAGTGGCTGTTGGTCCAACTAATCCAATTTGTTGGAGATATTTTCAGCTGGTGGTTCATGTTGGTGTTGCATCGTGTGGAAAGGACAATGGAAGCCATGGTCGCATGCTTTGCCGCACGGTTGATGCTCACAGCATAGCAATGGATATACGCTACATGTTTGGTGGGCGGAAGATTCCCCATGATTTGCTTAGGAATTCCTTGTAATTTGCTTTTGTATTGACATTTGAGGATAGTTCCTTGTTTCGTGCGGGACGCTCTTTTTCCTTCCACCGGTTGAAAGCTCCGGCAAGGTTTTATTGAGCCCCAATAGGCAAGCTATCCTCAGTTTGTTGTCAATTTGTACTTGTACCCCGCTGTTCGAATGGAATATCTAATATCGTATTTCTCTCAAAAAAAAAAAAAAAAAAAGATGATGACTATTTTCAAGTGATGATAAATTTATTTAAAATATAGCAACATTAATGAAATAACACACAACGTGGTTGATAAAATATAAAAGAAAAAAACACAATACATTAAAAAAAAAAAAGACACTAGGGGATAAGCTAAGCTTGGAGCCTTTGAGCATGGAAATCAAACCCCGCAATATTCCTTGACAGAGAACCCATCCCCAATATTAAGATAATTGGCCATATAAAATTGAACATAATCCAACATATGCAATGGCTTATACTTCACGGGGTGGTCGTCGGTGGTAAGCTCGTCCGGTGCGCGTGTCACCCCTTTCAAGTATGAAAATAGTCCAAACGAGTATCTTTCCTCATTTTCCTTCAGATTGACTCTATGTTTACAAGATGGTATTCTGTCATTGCTCCAAACCTAGGCAAGAAAAAGCATAGATTATAGTTGATCACTAGAAATAGAACCCCTTTTAGTCTATGACAGCCTCATTTATATCCATGAAACAGAATGATTAATGGAAGCGTATAGTGGCATACCTGAAATCCATCAGATGCGAATAGGAAGGATGAAGGCAAAGGATCAAAACCAATCCATTTGTTATCTTTTGTATATATCTCAAGACCTTTGACATGATTTTGGTGGAGTATGGAAGTTAAAGTCTTGTCTGTATGCACGGATAGACCCTGTCCAGTTCCCATTTTCTCTGGTTTCTTATATTTCATAAAGCGGAAAGTGGACACAATCGATTGAACGTGATCGTCAAGGTATTTTTCTACATTGTAGTTTTCGAATACCATTCTTGTAACCACTTGATTTAGACCTAGTTTGGGAGTGAGGTGCTTAAAAAAAAAGCACCTATGAAAAAAAGCTGTGAGGGTTTTAAGTGTTTGGTAAACTGAAAAAAAATGGCTTATTTTGGAAGCTGCTGTGAGAATAAGCTGAAATCAAAGGAAAAAGCTGAAGCTGCTATTTGTAGCTTTGGAAAACTGGTTTTTTTTCAAAGCACACGGAACTACAGTGCTCTTTTAATGAAAAGACCCACTATCAAACTGCTTTTTTTTCCAAAAGCATTTTTACAAAAAAGTTTACCAAACGCTCTGCTGATTTATTTCACAGCCGCTTATTCTCACAGCACAGCCGCTTATTCTCACAGCAGTTTTTTTTCAAAGCACAGCAATACCAAACCAGCCCTTAGTTCTGCCATCACTTTTCTATACGCATCAGCAGTCTTACTAGACAAAAGAACAATGTGAAAGGTGAGTCGATATATCCCAAACTCAATCATTTATCAAATATATACTAAACCATACCGATATTGATCATTTCCATTAGGCCAAAAATGATGTTCGAATACGCGCGATTTTTCACTGTCTGTACCAGTTGCCAAGCTTTCATGGAAAGGCCCCGTTAAATGACCATCAAGTATAGGTTTTTCCTGCGGATTTTGCACTTTAGTTTCAATTGGGAAATCAAACAGCTCTTTTAATGTCCCAAACATGCTATCGTGAAGCTCAGGTGAAACTTTGTTGGGCAGGACTGCCATGAAACAGCCAAACTCTTCGAGTGCGCGGCAAACATTCCCACGTACTGAGAGCCAAGAACTTGTCCCTGGCTTCAAGCAATCCTCTTGGGAGAAATCTACTACTGGAATTTTGGGTACCGTTTGGGTAACACTTGTGACATTCATCTTTGTCTTTTCACAAGTTAAGAGGTTTTGAGGACTCTATGGATATTGAACTAGAAGCTGTAAGTTCTCAACCGATTAAACTGATATTTATAGAGTAGTTAATTATAAATGGAATATCAGCTTTAGTAATTTTTCTTTTGGCATAAATCAATTAAACCCATTACAATCCCACAAGGATCCACATCGTATTTGTTATTTAGTTGTTTGGATCTTTATTCCCGTGCATGAATATGTAGTTGTTAGATTTTGTTATCCATCACTTACTGCATACATTAATATCATTTTATAATATATATATATATATATAGACACACACTACTTTATTTTAAATAAAATAAAGGTCGCTACCCAACCTTTATTTTATTTAAAATTCTAATGTATTCAAATCTCTTTTAAAACTTAAATTCTAGTTTGCATTGTATGTAGAAATTTACGGCTCGTTTGGAAGTATTTTTAAAATGACTGAAAACGTTTCTGATGAGAGTATTTTTAGAATCAATCATTAGTAAAAATGCAAGTGAATCTTGAAAAAGCACTTGAAGTGCTTCTTGCAAGACCAAAAAAACTTCCACCAAGAGCGCCTTCGGTAATTTAATAGTACTTTGAGACAAGTCTTTATAATTTACAAAATTTGATATGTTTGGAGAATATTCAACAAAAAAAAAAAATGTGTCCAGAAATAATATATGGGAACTTTAACAAAAAGCTCCCGGTACTGTTCACTTTAACGAAAAACCATATTTTTACACTAAAAAGTCAATCTTGGTACTATTCACTTTACCCTTTATTTTGTCCTTATCATTAAAACTCAAAGTTTTCAAGCCCTTTTCATTAGTTTTCCTATAATATATCAAAGACACACCAATTTTTTAATTTTTTAATTTTATGTATATATCAAACTATAATTACAAAAATGTAGAAACTCCTATACTACAAGAAGTTTGCCAAATATTTTTCTTTTTGTAAGTTGGTTGTAACCACCATGGACCAACTTCTTTTTGTATGTAATTATTTCTCACAACCCTAGCTAATCAATCACCACAGTCCAGTGGCAATCGGGTAATACCCCAGCGAAATATGGGCATTCTCGAACATCCGCAATAATTAATTAAAACATTCAATGACAAATCAGCAGCCGCAGGCTGACCATATACTTTCTTCCCTTTTCTTTCTCTCGTAACCTTTGCATTGAATTCCTCTTGGCCTCTTAGCTGCTGGATATATATATAAACAGACTTTGGAAGAGAAATCGAAAGAGGTGGGATCGGATGAGAGAGAGAGAAAAGAGAGAAATTTAAACAAAAATAGGCAAATATCGATCAAAATTTGAATCACAAAGAAAAAAAATATCGAAAGCAAATGGAGGGGTTACAACGTTGTAGATATTGGTTTAATGGAGTTTCTCTCTTTTTCCATCCTTTGAGGTTAGTACTATTGATCCTTGTGTGTTTTGGAAACGTAGGTGCAGCGTTCTATAACCTGACCACCATCCCCTTCGACCAAGGCTATATCCCTCTCTTCGGCGACGGCAACCTTGTCCGCTCCCCCGACGGAAAAGGTGTTCGTCTCCTCCTTGATCGCTTCACAGGTTCGTTCTTTCTTTCTTTCGTTCATTTGTATTTTGTGTGTACGCGCACAGAGAGGCTGTATTAATAGTTTTATCATTTACGATTCATAGTTTGGAATTCTCTAATTGTCTCTTGAAATACTCTCTTTTATTCATACTAATTAATTCTTTATTTTAAATTAATGAAGGTTCTGGCTTCATCTCCTCCAATCTTTACAACCATGGTTTCTTCAGCGCTAACATTAAGTTGCCATCCGATTACACTGCCGGTATCTGTGTTGCTTTTTACGTAAGTTTTCTTATTATTTCTACGTAACACAAGCATATATATGGTAAATTAATTTGAAACGACCTTTTTTCTTACGTAAAATGATCCGTTTTTAGTTGGGAGGAAATGAAGGGAGATTCGTTGATATTTTCTAAATAAGTAGATGTAATTATAATTTGTTTCTAAATTTGTGTGGCTGCGATGACCAAACAAACAGACATCAAACGCGGACGTATTCGAAAAGAGCCACGATGAGTTGGACATAGAATTCTTAGGGAACACAGAAGGGAAGCCATGGAGATTCCAAACCAACATCTACGGAAATGGCAGCACCAACCGCGGCCGCGAAGAGCGTTACCGCCTCTGGTTCGACCCTACCAAAGACTTCCACCGCTACAGCATCCTTTGGACCCCCGAAAAAATCATGTATGTCCTATCGATCCTTTTCTTTTTCAATTCTCATCTAATCAAGTATTAATTTCATTTTCCTCTTAGTTTTGTTTTGTTGTTTTTCCTCTCTAGAGAAATGTTTTTAACATTTGTTTTTAATTTCCTTCTGTTCATGTTCATTGCTGTTTGTTGATTTTTATTTTTATTTTTTATTTAATTCAATTCAATAGTTAAAAATAAACAAGAATGCGTAGAAAGATGAAAAGAATGTTTTGAGAAAGTTTTAGTATACCTATGGATCAAGATGATTCTTGTTGTTAACGCTGGTAGGCAATACGCATGCTTTGTAGACTTTGTTGTATGCTTTATTTGACCTCACGGGAGGCCATACACACTTTGAGATTGCGTATGGGTTGCTTCTGCTTACTAGTCGATAAAAATACGTCTCTATTTTCGACCTAAAAACATCACATAAATTATAAATGATATAGAGTTCCAAAAAAAAAAATTATAAATGATATATCTCCTTCTTGTGACAAAGTCCAACATGTTGTGTCTGTACCAGATTAACCTATGAATTTAATCAATTAAATGATTGGTAATGTAGAATTATATAATGAATTAAAGGTATGGACTAAAATTTAATAGCAAGATAATGTCACAAATTTATTGATTAAAAAAACGTCACATACTGAAAGTGACATTTCTTATGTGTGATGCACACAATACTTTATGTCATGTCAGGAGTATATATATGAACTGAAAGATGTTATTCTACAAAGTCACTGTGTAACGTTAATGTACGACATTGATGTATTAGTATTTGAAAACAATTGTAACAAAATTGGACTATATATAAAGAAATATGATAAACACACACTAAATTTGTTTAATTATGGTCGTTCTCTTAGCTTGATTTATTCGATATAATAGTCATAAATAAATAAAATACGTGATAGGTTAAACAGATTGCTTGAAAATTAGGTTCTTATATACAATAAGTTATAAAAATAAAATAAAAAGACCAGCTAGTTGCTTCACCACGAAGATCCAATTTTTTGGAGGCTGAAAAGACTCGCAAAGACATTTCAGTATCTCTTTGGCCACTATTGTGTGATTCGCAAGCCCCAAAAATCGAACTTTGAATGTACAGTGTGGAATATGAGCTTGAAATTCGTTTCCCACTATTGAGTCACTGCGTAGTGGTTAATAAGTTATAAAATTATTGAGTTAAAGAAAGAAAGCGGGTGAGAAAAAACATCCTATATTTAAAAAATGGGAGACCATATTTTGTTAGGCTACCAAACTAACGAATGCACCCACCATTGAGCATCATTGCCTGCCTACTTACATATTTCAATATCTACGCATTTTTAAAATTGTCTTCTTATAGTAGTTATTGACGTAGAAATTGAAATGGTAATATATAATTTATTTTTAATTTTTCTTCCCATTATAATTGTGATTAAATATACGACTGAAAATTTTACGTTCAGATTCTACGTGGATGAAGTTCCAATTAGAGAGGTGGTGCGAAATGAAGAAATGGGTGCTGACTATCCTTCAAAGCCAATGTCGTTGTATACGACTATATGGGATGCAAGCAGTTGGGCTACGTCCGGTGGGAAATACAAGGTGAATTACAAATATGCCCCCTTCGTGGCAGAGTTCAAAGACCTAGCCCTAGAGGGCTGCCCTGCCGACCCAATCCAGCAAATCCCTCCTGCTGAAGCGTGTGCGGAACATTACACCCACCTCGCCACCCAAGACTACTCCGTCATTTCGCCTCAGCGGCGAGCTGCCATGAGCAGGTTTCGGCAGCGTTACATGTACTACTCATATTGCTATGATTCGCTGCGTTACCCAGTGCCACCACCCGAGTGCGTTACCGTTCCTGCCGAGAAGGCACGCTTCAAGGACACTGGCAGGTTGAAGTTTGGCGGCAGCCACAAACGACAGTCCAAGCGGAAGTCCCACAAACGCAACCGAGCAGTCCCTAACTCCGACAACGCTGCAGACATATGATGATGGTACATGGATCACACAGTTCAATTTTTTTTCAGATATTATTTGCGATTCAATTCATACATCTCATGCATGTAAATTCAACCCTAGCTTGTACTAGTGTACCATACTCCATACGTTTGTACATCACACACTATTGTTCTCACTCCAATGTAAGTTCAACCCTTGATGTGTTATTATTGATCATTAGTTTTCCATTCTGTTGGATGGATCATTATATGCATTCCTTTTTTTTTTATGTTTTGCCTCGTTGAAATCTTGTCCGGAATTTAAATCCCCAAAGAGTGCTATCCTTAAGTAGACAATTGTTATATCTCGAGGTTCCTCGAACCAGGTACGAATTTATATATAACCCATGTTCCAGTGTGCAACTCCATTAGCACGTTCTCATGCATGTATGAGAAAATATGAATGAGTAAAATGAGTTATCGAGGAATTAAACTGGATAATGGAATGACGCCTTCGGTTTGAACCTCAAATTCAAATATGAAACATTCCTAGAGGAGGTTCAAGTTGAATTTAGATGGACAAAATAAATCAAGGGAACTGGATTAATACTGCCTGAAAGAGGACTGATAGCACAGAAAGGAGAGAGAGATTGTGATTTTCGTTAAAGATACGTGGGATTTTTTATGCAGTGCTTTGTGATGTCCTACAGAAAAAGTGAGTTTTCCGTCTTCTCCATAAGCCCCTTAGCTTCACTATATAGATGAGCTAAGCCCACCCAGAAGCTGAAGAACAGACCTACAAGCAAGCGGCTTCACTTTGGTTTCACACTGTATCTTGTTCTACAGACGGAAACATCAATTCCAATCAAGTTTGTCATCATGATTGTTATGGGTGCTATCATCAGAGACATCCATTTGAAGTTATAGAGATCAACAAACTCATCATATGAATTGTTGATGCACAAAATCTGGAGGAGATATTGGACCAATGTAAATTCGGTCGTGAATCACACAAATGCACAAGAACACAAAGATGTATCGTGGTTCAACTTAATGTTTGGGCTACGTCCACACTGATGTTGATTCTGATTCACTATATGAATGTATGGATTACAATAGATCGGCAAGGGAGCTCTCTGTGGATGCAACCCTTGCCATTTTGCTCTCTGTTTGGCTAAGAGGGTATTGCCCTCTATTGTTGTGAGGGTTGAGACTCTGTTTTCTTTATGTGAAGGTCAGGCTCCCTTAATGAGGGTGAAAGAGAGTCCCTTTTATAGAATAAGGGCTCCCTCCCCTTTTACATAAATTATGGACTTAGGGATGAGGCCCAAAGACAAGGCCCAATACTCAGGTCCGCTTGTCAGGTTAGACAAGAGATCATTGTTCGAACTAAATATTTGTCACCATAAGCATGTGGCTCAGTGATCCATAGGCTGATCAATAGTGTCGGTAGGCTTTTTTAATCAGCAACAATGTCGATCAGTGGATCTAGTTGCTCAATAATTCCTGACAATAAATGACAGTATAAGTATGACCATATAATGAATAAATCAAATTAACAAAGTTTGTCAAGGCAAAACATTGTATCATGTGCCTACTACAGATGAATAATTTATTCAGTTGTGTGGTAAATCACATGTTGTACAAGTGACATAATTTAATGGCAGTCACAATACTCTAGGCCAATAAATATTGTATGATAAAGTTTTTATCCTACCACTTTAGATAATGAAGTGAGGAATGATTAAAGATGTAATAATAAAATATTAATTAATAAAATAATTGTAAGGAAGATTGCAGACAAGCGTTTGTAAAGTATATGCACATTGTAAAGCAAATCAAACTAGGAACGCACTATATAGGTGTGATAGAAATGATGTGGCCTCATGTTAAAGAATATACACACAGATGTAAAGCAAAAGGATCTTATCAAAATAATAATAAAGTAATAAAATAATAACAAAAAGAATCTTATCTTGTTCCCATGGCTTTTTTCAGAAAATGGGCAGGGAACATGCACCCCCCTTCATGATGAAAGTTTTATCTTTTTCAAAATGTTGATGGTCGACAGTTGCAAGTTGTGATAATAAAGTTCTTATCTTCTCTGTTCGTCCATCATTGCTCTAACAGTGGAACTGTGAGCGGAGACCTTAGCCAAAGTATAAACCTTTTTGTCTCCAGCCATTGTCGTCGAAGGAGAGCTAGAGGCCAGTCTGAAACCCAAAAGCTATTTTCCCTTCCTCTCAAGTAGCTGGCCAACATTTGTTAGTCATGCAATCTCCGGGTCAGGCATCCAGGGTGTCCTAGGCGGTGGTCTTTCTCTTGTCGCCATTTTTGAACCTGGCGAGGTACCGATGGTAATTATCATTCATCTTCAAGTAGAAGACCTTGGACTCTCCGGTGGTAGCCGAAGGAACAAGGTGCGACCGCAGGAGCTCTAGGATTCCGGCGTAGATGGCGGAGAGCTCGGTTTCTACCTTGGATCTGTACTGCTTGATGAGCGCCACATGCTCCTCGTTGTGGCGGCCTTCATCCTTCTGCTCAATTGACGAGATTATGCGCCAGGCGGCGCGGAACGAGCCGATGACGTTCTTGAAGGCGACGCTAAGCAGGTTGTGCTCCTTCACCGTAAGCTCGATCCCGACGGTGATGGAGTCGACGACAAGCTTCTTCATGAAGCTCACAATCTCCTCGTACCGCTCGACCTGCTCGGCGAGCTTCGCCATGTACACGTACTGTTCTCTGCTGAGGTTTTCAGGGACAACGGAAGCCATTGGAGCAGGTGAGCTGAGAAGTAGAAATCCTGAGTAGAGCTCTTCTGACTCTGGAGTCAGTGGCCTCATAAATCCCCATTTGGATCCTCATTAGCTCACCCACCATCATGGCCCACCTAGGCTTTCCTAGACCTGACCCGACCCCAGACCCGGCTGACTCATGACTCTTCTTGGAGCCGGAGCCCGGTGATTTGAGACCCAATGCTTTCTTCATCTTTCTGGCAGCTGTGGAAGTGAGCAATCTCTGCAGCGCGGGGGAGTCTTTGAGGGAGTTGGCGTGTTGGGTTGACGAGTCAGCGGATGAGGGTGTGAAAGTCAAGGCTTTTCCGGTGGATATCGTGGGCGGTGAGTCGAAGGTCCGAGTTGCTGAGTTGGGCCGAAATGGCGGATGATGTGGTGGTGGTAAATGGTGGCTGGGGTAAGGTGATACCTCTTTTGGATTAGCCCAGCGAAGAGACGTCTTTGAAGAGGTGAGCCATAGAGGCAAATATAGGGGAAGAGAGGAAGAGATGACGGAGAGCGAGCGTTAGAGAGTTTTCATTTCTGCATTTTTTAGAGATGGGTTTTGCAGTGACTTTGGTTCCTGGGTTTCTGCTGATTCACGGTGGATATTGTGGTGAGGTTTCACAGTGGTGAGATGAAAAAAAATGAAAGAGAACCGACATAACTTTTCGTGTCGTTTCCCACAAACGGCGCCAAATGTTGATGCACAAAATCCGGAGGATCTTGGACCAATGTAAATTCGGCCGTGAATCACACAAATGCACAAGAACACAAAGATGTATCGTGATTTACCCTAATGTTTGGGCTACGTCCACACTGATGTTGATTCTGATTCACTATATGAATGTATGGATTACAATAGATCGGTAATGGAGCTCTCTGTGGATGCATCCCTTGCCATTTTGCTCTCTGTTTGGCTGAGAATGTATTGCCCTCTATTGTTGTGAGGGTTGAGACTCTATTTTCTTTCTGTGAAGGTCAGGCTCCCTTAATGAGAGTGAGGGAGAGTCCCTTTTATAGAATAAGGGCTCCCTCCCCTTTTACATAAATCATGGACTTAGGGATGAGGCCCAAAGACGAGGCCCAAAGACAAGGCCTAATATATGGTACCAACATGAATCATCATCACCTCCATATTTTGACGTCAAAGTGAAAGAAGTCTCAGTCACTACAATCCGCGTTCAGAAGCTTAAAACAACGACATCTCGTTCCGGCTTCAGAAATTTAATACAATTACGATCTAACCATCGAGATGGCGATTATATTAAATACATTTAAGTCTTGTAAGTTCTTCGTTAAAGTGAGACTTTAATTTGAGTTTCAATATGATACTTTAGTCAAAGTGACTTAAAATTTTAATTTTATTCAACCAGAAAAATAGTATTTAAGTTTTGACTCCAACCATCTCTAATACACGAGAAAAACTTGTATGAATTTTAACTTGATGCAGGACAATGTTAGACGACACTACTAGCCACTCTAAACTTGCCACTTGTTCAAATTTAAGCACTATAACACAACTTGAGGAAAAGAACTCCTCCACCCATCCTCTATAGCACGGTTTCCAAAATCCTTCTGAAGTTTCACTTGCTGAACTCCAATTTTTGTTATCAGCCATTTTCATTTTGACTAATCTTCTCTGTATTTGTTTCAATTTTATTGGATGTCACCGAAGGGACATTTTGACTATAATTCGAAGTTTGCACTTAGTTTTTTTTTGTTTGATCAGTCATTTTCAAATTTGTAATCTCCGTCAGATGAGCACAAGGATTTACCAACTGTTCATGTATAATTGACTTTAATTTGTAATCTCCGCTTTGGTTTTTGCTTTCTTTTTTCTTCCAAGTATTTTATTCTATTACTTTTTGTTTTACCAAATCAAAACTCTGTTTAGGAGTAAATGTTGAAATATCAAGGAGATATTCTTGTGTGCGGACTCTCCTATGAGATAGAGCACTAAAAGGGAATGGGGGAAGACGGGTACAAAGAGTCCACCTACTAGATGTAAGTCGGGGTTGTTTGGTTCCCTTCTCTCAATACAAATAAATTAGATTTTTTTCGTATTTCTAAATTCTTGAGTTTGAAACTTTTTTTAAGTGTAATTTTATCTAAGTCTTACATGTCAAAACAAATAATTTTAAAATTTTTTTTTTTTTTAACTATATAGATGTTAAGACAGATTTTTTTTTTTAGGTGCCATATTTTTTTGTAAAAAATCTAAGGACTGGCCTGCCATTTTTGGTGCCATATATTGAATATAGATTTCACAAAAATCCCTTAATTTTGATATCTTGAAGGGAAAAGGATTGGATCCTTTTCCTGGGGATCCAGAAATCATGTATATTCATCATACATCATGTGGTCAGAAATCATTTAAAATTTAAAATTAAATATAAATAATATCTAAAAAAAACTAACCGTACGATGTACGATGAACGGACATGATTTCTGAATCATCCGGATAAGGATCCTTCTCCTTCTTGAAGAGCCATATCCTTCTTGAAGACCCATATCCTCGTTATGGGCCTGGGTGGCTAGTACATAGGAGCAAGTCTAGTGGAAACGACATGGGTTAGGGGTTGGAGGTTTTATTTGACCTCTCAAAGTATCATTATTTATGAAATTCAGCCATCTCACAATTTTGTTGCTCTAACGATATGAGAGATTAGAGGTTAAAAAGTGTTGGGTGACTAATTTTCATTAGCTACCGGTTTGTTCCTAAGTTGACCCTTCAAGGGCAATCGGCAAGATTCGGGGCTAAACTGGCTCCTTGGAGGGCCCTGGGCGAGTTTAGCATAAACTAGATATGTCCCATTAAAAATTGAATTTTATCATGTACAGCATTTTTACCTAAACTAGCTTGCATGCATTAGATATGCTCGACACACCAAGCTGGCGCACAAGAGATTTTGTGTTACAGGTAACAAATGCTATACATCTTGAATTTGGCATTTTACTTTAATGAAATTTTTCATAAAAATGGTTTGGTAATGAAACGAGTATATGAACCAACATGAACGCACCTCGGGGACGCCTCCGAAAATTGGAACGACAGTAACAAATAGGATCATGTTTACCAAACTCGAAGCTGGTCATCGATGCTATAAAAGGTGTTTGTTCTACTCCTTGGCGTCTGAGGAACATTTTAGAAGATATCATACGGTTGGCTTCAGCTTTTGATGTGATCACTTGGAACCACGTCTATAAGAAAGACTTTGTTATTTGACTGTATTGATACTGATTGTAATATGAGTGACTTTATCTAATGTTATTCATTTGGATAATGCTAGGGATATCAAAATATTAAACTAAATTTGTAAACCAAATGATGTGTTACTAATATCAAATAAGCACATTAATCAATATTTAACTAGTAATCCAATGACCAACCATTACATCATTTGATTTATAAATTTAGTTTAAAAGTTTTTATCTCCTTAGTATTACCCTATATTTTCCTAAAAGAAACTGGAATTTCCAAAAATCTAAAAAAAAAAAAAAAAAAAAAAAAAAAAAAAAAAAAAAAAAAAAAAAAAAAAAAAAAAAAAAAGAGAGGCTGTCATCATAAAAGCAATGGTTTAGTCAAAGTTGCCAATGCTGAAGTTTATGGGTGTTTTGCCTTTTTCAACAGATGCTGACTTTTCTCTATCAATAGTGCGGGGGCTCACTGTTTGATGTCCTATGTATGACTCTAAATGGTTCATATTTTCAATAAAATTTAATGCTCTCGCACCGTTCACACACTGTCGGTGTAGAGAAATTAGTGTCCGGCGTCTGGACCACTAGAAACCTACAGCTTAGCGAGCATTATTGTTCACCGTCATAAATTATGATGCATGCTTATTATATACTTATTCTTCTATTATGTGTCATTCGTTTAATTTTTGATAACGTGAAATTACAGATAGTTAGATATATGGTGAACTTGGGCTATAGGATGACGGTGAGCAAATATACTCTCTACGGATACACTAGAAAATCTCCCATGACCCACCACCCATCACTGCCCTAATTTTTGAACCCTCCCACCTTTCTTTCGGTTTTGGCCGGTGCCTGGACAAAAGACCTTCTTGTCAGTATGGTTCACAAGGTGCAGGCAAATTGTTAAAATAAAGGTCAAACTTTCGTGAAACCGTGCTATTCAGATCTTGGTTCTGTGGTCTGTAATAGAGTGCAGTACTTGGTCGTCTCCTTTGTGTTTAAAAATAAAGAGTGATGTTGGTGATGAATTTCAGGTTCGTTCTTTATACGATATGTTCTAAATTTAATTCTTAACGCTGGTGAATAGCACAATGGTGGTTAGGGGAGACTGAAATATTTATATGAGTCTTTCCGGTCCTCGAATAGTGAACTACCGTGGCGAAGCCACTAGTTGGTCTCCTTTTGAAAAAATATAACAAGGAAGACCAAATTTGTAAACTTAATTTTGTAAACTTAATGACATGGAAGTCCACGATTTGATTATTACTTAAATGTCGATTACCGTACTTATTATTTACTGATGACACATCATTTAATTTACAAATTTAGTCTACCTTGCATTAATCAAAAGTCCTCATATGTGGCTTTTTTTGGAACTATACTAGTTTATTAATATTTTGACAAAAGATGTAACCATTATGTGGGAATTAAGATCCTCTCCGAACTTTTTTGTCTAGAGTCAACGCATCCGGATATCCGGACCACTCATTTTAAATCATGCGGTTCTCATTAATCTATTTTACTAACCCACCTCACACAAGTCAAGAGTCTGAATCTTTTTTTTCTCTCTTCAACCACTCGAATCTTTGAATCCTTGAGCTCTGAACACAGAGATCCGAAGATGATCTAGACTCATTCATTGATGAGCATTGATGAGCGAAGTCACTTTCAAATAATAATACAATTCTTAATTGCTTGAAAAAATGGGTCAAAATTATTGTTCGTCCATGCAAGTTGAACATTATTTTGTGTGATCGATTAGGGGAAAGTCCACTGTTTAACCACGTAACACAGTTCATGTATATATAGATAGATCCATCATCACTCAGAACTCACAAAAGATAAAGCCTCTCCTGCCCCTCGTAGGCCAACAGAACAATGGCCAAAATTCCAGTGGTAGATTTCTCGAAAGATGACTGCTTGAAGCCGGGGACAAGTTCTTGGCTCTCGGCACGCAAAGACGTTTGCCGTGCACTGGAAGATATCGGCTGTTTCACGGCAATTCTTCCCAACAAAGTTCCAAAGGAACTTGCCAACACCTTCTTCTCTACATTTGACGACTTGTTTGATTTTCCAACCAGTACTCCTGAAAAGCCTTTCTTCTATGCAACTTCTAATTCCGGGCAACGAACCTACGGGATCATCAACGGCACAAACCCTCAAGATGTTCAACAATTCACACATCTCATTTGGCCCGATGGAAATGATCAATTTAGGTATGATCGATCACTTCTGCATTTCTCAAACATATAGATCTTAATACATACATACATACATACATATTATATTGATCATATACATCAATTTATACAAATAATATGTTCTTTGTTACCCAGTGAGAGTGCTGACTTTTATGCAAAAGTGCTGTCGGAATTAGATCAAACTGTGACAAGAATGGTGTTTGAAAACTACGGTGTAGAGAAGTACCACGACGATCACGTTCGATCGATGTTTTACGATTTGAGAATGATTAGATACGAGAAACCCGAGAAACTTGATAGTGATGTAGGTTTAAAGATTCATACGGACAAGAACTTCTCCACCATAATCCATCAAAACCATATCAACGGTCTGGAGATAAATACAAAGGATGATGAGTGGGTGCTTTTTGATCCTCCACCTTCATCCATTATATTCATAGCAGCTGACGGATTTCAGGTATGTCACATATTATTTACCCTTTGAACACGAGTAATTTGATAACCGTTTCTTTTTTCCTTTTCCATCTTTTAGTTAGTTTTGAGTTTTCAAAATTTGGCTTTCCATTTTTATTTTTTTGACAAATATTTTAGCAAAGCAAATTAAGTTTACTTGTTTTCGATACGAGTAATTTATTTTTCAGCAAGGACGTTTGTGTTCTTTTATTGGCTTAGGTTTGGAGCAATGACAGAATCCGACCTTGTAGACATATAGAGTGACCTTGACTGAAAATGTCGTAAGATACACATTTGGTGTCTTCTCTGTCAAGAAAGGGGTGATACGCGTACCAAATGAGCTCGTGGACGAAGACCACCCGTTACTGTATAAGCCTTTGAATCATGTTGAGTTCCTCATGGCACAGAGACATACTGGTGAAACTGAGTATGCCGCAAAGGCATATTGTGCCATTTGACATTTTCTTTGGTCCAACGCTCCAAGTCAATCCCGCTATGGTTTTCTCTTTCTATTTTCTTCCATGTATTTTATTATTCTACTTTTATTTTTCTAAAACAGTACTAGGTTTATGGGTAAATGTTGAAATAACAAGGAGATATTCTTGTGTGCGGATTCTCCTATGAGACATAGAACTCAAGGGGAAGGAGGGAAGACAGAGTACAAGGGGTCCACCTATTGGATGAACGCCGGTGAGACTCTCTCAGTAGCGGAGCCAATGTTGGGGTCACTGGTTGCCCATGACCCCAACAGCTTCAAAATTCCTATATACATTTGAATCTGTATTTGTATTTCACCCCTATAAATAGTTATGGCAAACTAAATCATAACAACCTCCTCCTACTAATTATGTTTTCTTTTGTCATCCATATTTTCCTTTTCTCTTGTCTTGCGTGCCACTTTATTGTGCGAACCAATTGCTCGACAAATGTCTCAGTTGACAACCTTAGCAGTCTTCAACATCACTCGATAGTTTCGTATAGCTACCCTCGATAAGCCTCTATTGATCATAGTAGTTGTCGATATAGGTAAGTGTAAGCTTTTGGCAAATGTCGGCAATAATCGACAAGTGCCCATCAGGTGCTCGATGAACTGGTCCATTGAAGTTTTTTTGTCGAAATTATGATCTCATTATTTGAAAATCTTAACCCCGCCATTAGACCCTCCAATAAGTCTTTTGATATTGTCTCTGTATCAATGGATTCTCATTTGCCATACATAACTAAGAAGTAAGGCCATGGCTTCAATAGGGCACACATCCATCTATTAAATAGCCAAAGGCCGTAAATGATCAAATAATGGCCTTGCGCTTGATTCAACCTGAAAGAAAGGTAGCCACTCTAAGAGCAACTTCACCGTTGCTCATTGCATTGGGGTTAGGCAACCCAATCCACTCCCTCCCCTTTCCCCAAAACACTCAAATTCACTCAGGCAATTGGGCTTAAGATGAGTTCGATGGAGAAGTCGAGCAATAAGAGCACGTCCAGTGTGTAAAGGCTCCCCTTGGCAATAGGCAATTCAATCCCCTTAATTGAATAGTAAATGCCCTTAATGAACAGTAATTACCTATTGTATCTCCACATATACTAAATAGCCTATGCAATTCACATTAAAATATTAGTATTTTTTATTTTAGAAAACAATAAAAAATAATTTTATTTTTAATTTCGGATATGATTTTTAACCGATCACGTCATGCCACATTTCAGTATCCAAAAGTACGATTTTTGTGGGTAAATTTCGATAAGATTTTTAACCAATTCTGTAGCACCTCATGTCTTTACCTGTTTAGAATCGTTGAAAATATTGAAATGTGGTGTCTTTCAATTGTGGCCCAAACCTTGGAATATCATAGGGCGATAAAAATTGTATTCCGAACTTAATTAATATATTTCAAATTTTCCTAAGCAATTTTTGGGCATATTTCAAGCAACCAAAGTCCTAGCCTGGATTGGAGGAATGTTGCTTAAGTCTTAGTATTAGATTAACCTATACAATTGCACCATCGAACTTAATAATTAAAAAGTATTGTTATGTCCACCCACCTATCTTATTTTCTCACCCACTTTATAATTAAAGAATATATGTGTGTGTGTATATATATAAATATATAATGGATGAGAAAATAAGACAAGTGAATAAACATAATAACAATCTAATTGAATAAGCGTAAGAATATTAACAAATAAGACAAGTGAGTAAACATAATAACAATCTAATTGGCCGTAGGAGGCTTATCCTTATTTGCTCGGATTCTTCCGTTGCGTTCCAAACCATACAATATACCAATCTCGCAAAATGCGCCTATAAAATTGTCAAGTATATGATTTCAAAACTTATAATTTCGATTACAAAATTAAGAGTGTTTGGAAAGTAAAAATAGGCTGTGTCATACTTACGAGGGTCGTTGAAAGTACTTGGTCATAGAGAAAGAGCAACACCAGTGAGACCCCAAATTTGAACAAAACCAATTTTTAAACATCCAAATTAGTTTTAATAAAAATAAAAATAATAACTTATTACTTATGTTTAATTTTTTATGCTTGAACCCACAACATTGCACATTATTGAAAACCAAATTATTGAAAATGCAGGGAGAGCATAAAGTTTAAGTGTTAAGCCACCCCATTGCATATGGTCTAAAAGTGATGAGAAAAAATGAAAACCATATAAAACAATGATAATGTTATAAATGTGAATGACCCCATCTAATGATATTGAATTCATTCATACTAGCGCATCCATTTGCCTATAGAACCAATTCAAACAAATGTTTCAGACATACGAGAGAGAAATAGTAAGCCTCAACAACCAATATTCCATGCTTTGATATTTTCCATGATAAATCCAAAATTATTATATGAAACCATCCACATTAGATTAGCAATACACTCCATTAGATTAGCAATACAATGTAGCTAGCAATACACTCCATTAGATTAGCAACACAATCAAAACAGAAACAATCAGATTTTGTGTCTCAGACATCCAAGGAAGGAAAAAAAGCAGCATAAGCTCTCAAGCCCGGCGAAAGGCGAAAGCTCTTAGGCGGCCACTGCGAATGTTCTTGAGAAACAAGCCTTTGGATTTATCATCACAGACCATAAATTATCAAATTTAACAAAATAAGACAAGAAATGTAAAAAAGAAAGAACAAGGGCATCAGTTCTCCAAGGTGATTGATAAAACATCAATGAAATTCAGACGCAAATTACCCATAAATACCAATTTGATTCATCACCTGCCCACATTCTTTTCAAGCAAAGAAATAACAAAACGAGTGGGGTTGTGTGTGGGAGTGAAATTTGAAGTGTGAAAAGCGATGGAATTTAGAAAGAAAGCGATCGGAACCTGTCGGGATTCACAGTAACATCAAACTGTTACCAGTCAGTGGATTGACAGACATGAATTTCTATCGTCACCTCGCTTTCTTCGATCAAACCCAGTTCCTAAAACAGCTAAAAAATCATAAAACAAACTAAAACATGAAACCAATAGAATTAAAGGACGCTCAGAACTTCTTAGAGGGTTGTGACCGTCATCGACGGAGCTCAAAAGCTGCCGCCTTTGGCACAAAGAGCTTCATCAAGGCCATCATTACAGAGAATTAAATGGAAACACACAGAAATTAGGAGTCATGAAGGGAAACGGGGATTGGGTGGAGGCGGGATGTTGAAGCGGCTATGGACTTGAAGGAGGAGGAGGAGGAGGTGAGCAGATGCTTCAATTTGGGGAGAGTTGTTGCGGAAGAGGCAATTTATGGACTCCATGAGAAAACCCTAGTTTTGTAAACCCTATGGGCTGAAACGTTGGGCTGCATTGGGTACCAGGATTAGGGTGCAGAAATAATTTTCTTGGGCTTTAACGGGCTGCTGCTTCATGAATATTTTTGTTTTTACTTTCAAATTTTCATTTATTTATGGAGAAAATTCAGCAATCAGATTCAAACTGTATCTAAAGTCTTTTAAAATTAAATTAAAATCAAATCAAATAAAACAAAATACTTATCAAGAAGTGTTGTTCCATGACACCATATTTTCTACCCAAGTTTCAGACCGTTAGATCGGTAGAGATTGAAGCATTACGGTTAAGGTTGCAGGCATGGAGGATTAATTTTTTATTCTTCAAATAGTAAAGCATATTTAATTATTTTCTTCAGATGAAAGTTTTTTATTGGCTTTTTTACTAATATGTAATTGGAATGAAAGAAATTGTATTAAGGAGGAGATGAAATGAGGTGAAGCAAAAAATTAGAGTCATGTCGAAATTTTTTACTTCAATTTGTTGAGGCCCAAAAAAAAAATAGTCATGTCGAAGTTTTTTACTTCAATTTGTTGAGGCCCAAAAATGTTACACACCAACCCAACCAATTTTCAAGGCCCAATTTTCATATAAAACCTTCACTCAAGCCCAACACATGCCAATGTGCGGGATCGATAAGGAAATATATGTACGAACATGCCACACCACGATAATTAAATTGGATATTTATACAAATCACGCAATGCTCATGCCTATTCATGACGCCAAGCTTCCTCGTGCTAGTCACTATTCATGCTAAGCCCAAATCACATGCTCGAAGCTTGCTAACTGAATTGTGGTGCGGATGGTTACAAAAGGTTATTAGGCCTACCTAAAATTGAGGTTATGGAAGACTTTAGGCTGCTTGGGGGCCTAGGATCCAAGCCATATCCTTTGCATTTCATGCAGGCAAGCATTGAGAGAGAACTAGCCTAGTTTACCTCTTTCCCTAGCAAGCTAACCCTCTTAGTTAAGACTAAACTAGATTCCTACATTAAATGTATGCTAAACCCAGTAAGTCAGGCATTTACTGTTAATTTTCCCTTCCTAGCTTGCACAGATAACCAACACGCAAAAGTCATAAGACGCGTTACCAAAAGTAGTGTTTGCGAAAGGCTGGCCTGGGAAAGCCGCATCTCAGGAAGAAGCAAGTTACAGGTTTTAACAATGTATTTACCTTACACCAAAAGGGAAACAGTTGGGGGGGTTAGAGAGAAATGAAGGGGAATACCAAGCCAAAAAGGGAGATTCCTTTGAAGTCTAGATAATAACCCTTCATTTACAAAATGAGAGAGAGAAACCATTAAAGGGGCATAAAGAGAACGCAGATAGACAAAGTCAAGAAGCACCACCCATGAAGTAAACCTAGAAAGCTCCATTTAGCCTAGAAACATACTCCAAGCGTCAAGAATCATCATCCATGCTACCTTAGAAATTCCTAGCCTTCTATTAAAGATCCCAACCATTAGAAGCCTTGCTATCACCCTAGGAAAGCCCAAATCATCCAGCCAAGAATGTCATGCAATCATACATACCCCTTCTCTCTCATGTTAAACCGGTAATCTTTTAGCTTCCACACCACGGCCTTGGATTCTATAACCTACAGACAAGGTTATGCCAATTGTTGTGAAGTTCAATAATGATTGTGTGCCGAACTTTAAAAGTAACATGAAAGTAACACTTCACTTCGTCGAGAAAGCTAATGAAGTGACCTATTTTAGCAAAAGAATCAAAGAAGAAACCAGGGCACAAGGCCAAACACTGTTTTCTCTCCAACACTTGACCCCAATTGACAATCAGCTAGTACTTTTTTTTTTTTGGTTGAAAGGTGGATTCATGGAAGAAACCAGGGCACAAGGCCAAACAAACAAACAGAAAGCTTGTCGGTCAACCAAGAAACCATGAACACAAAGATAAACATGACATAAGAAGACGCCTTCAAGAAGGACACCAGCATCATCCTATCTACCCACAAGGAACCCCCCACCCTTACACTGGAGGACATGAGAGACCGTCTTTGATTGATAGTCAGCTGGTACCTGAGGTCCTTAGATTGAGAAAGACTTGTCAAGAGTTTTCGATCACATCATTCGTTGGACATCTCTCATAAAAGCATACAAACACTTGTATCATTATCCCACTGAACTCTAAGTTAGAGTTAGTCTTAAATTATAAGCCATAAGTAAACCATTAGACTTGGTTTTAGGTCCTTTAGTAGAAAAACTTGTGTAGAATCTCCAACCTTTCTAATGAACAATGTAAATCCATATTTATATACCATTTCCAACCGAAGAGGGCTATTTTAGCCCTCTCAATAATTTATTATTTTAAGTTTGTTCTTTATTTTTATTGGTTAATTGATTTAAACTACCATATTAAAATAAGGTTTTCGGACATATTTTGAGTGTCACTTATCACTAAGTGAATAAGCCTCCGGATTTCTTATTCTTTGGTTGAAGATATGGTCATTTGAAAAAATATTGAAAATTTTGAATTTAGATTATTGGAAGAGGTAAGGGAGGGGTGTTTATGAAAAGGATGTGAGAAATGATGTAGAAATCACTTAGGTATTTATAGGAAAAAAAATTATTTTTTTTTTAAATTTCGGCCTTAAAAAACAAACAGGCTATCTGATTGGCTAAAAATGCCCAGCATGATGGCCAAAGGGCTAAAGCTTGGCCTTGTGGGTCCCTTTTTTTTGGCTCAGCCCTCCATTAGAGTTGAATTTTGGAGCATTTTGGGCTGGATTTTAGCCTATAACCTATAGCCATCTCCAATGGAGATAGCCTTACCAAACTCGAAGCTGGTCATTGATGCCATAAAAGGAGTTTGTTCTACTCTTTGGCGTCTGAGGAACATTTTAGAAGATATCAAATGGTTGGCTTTGTGTTAAACCCCACCCTCGAATTTATATGTATTTTTATAATTTCCCAAAGTTTTATTGAATTTATCATTTTGGTTCCCTAGCTTGACTAAATCTGGACCCTTTATCTAGATTCCTAAACTCCCTCAAATTGCCACGTGGCAGCACCCTAACAAACCTTATATATCTCTCTCTGTTCCCCCCGCCCTCGTGACTTCTTCTTCTTCTTCTTCTTCTTTATGTTTATGCTTTCTCTCCCTTCTCTATTCTTTCCCTCTTTCATCGAGACACACACACACACACACCCACTTGCACCCAGCTGCATTCCCTGCTCGAGGAAGACACAACCATCGTCATCATCAGAACCTCTGTAGTTCTCTCTATCTCATGTTGCTGTAGGAACGACGAAACCTCAGAAACCTCCAACGAGAAAATCCGTCGAAGCTCGTACACAAACCCGACCAATCTTGACCGCATTTGAGTCTATTTGTGGTAAAATCTTGCTTCCCTTCTCTTTCAGCATCATTTTTATGATTTAACTTCCTATTTTTACTTAGTTTTAGGTCCAAATCGGAATCGGGACGAATCCCGATCAAACCTTCTGGTGTTCTTCCTCGATCACCTAGCAGGCCACCCGCGAGCCTTAACTTGTATTTGGACAAGCCCAAAACCCTAAAACCCAACCCGTTTCCTCTTATTTTCTACTAATTGTTTTAAAGGCCCAAAGGTGCCTCAGACCTATTTTATTCAAGTGGGTTTAAGCCCAGCCCTTTTGATTTTTAGGCCTGCGGGCCGAGTATGTGGGTGTGTGCATATATGGTGTGTGTGTGTGAGTGTGTGTGGTGCACATGTATATGTGTGTGTTGTGCCGTGTGTGTGTGTGTGCTGGCGTGTGTGTATGTGTGTTGTGTAGGTTTGGGCTTAAGCCCAAACCACCCTTTTTGTTCCTAAACTATTCAAACCCAAAACCCAATAGGTCCTAACCCTATTTAACCTAAACCTAAACCCTAATCCGGATCCAAACCCAAGACCCATTTCCATTTCTTGAAATTTTATAATTGGGTAGTATGATAAATTGTACATTTTTGTGCTTAGGTGAAGTTGCTAGCGGGGATTTCCCTAATCCTTTTCCGCACAATTCTGCTGCTACGGAGTATCTGTGAGTGGACCCCTTCTAAAATTTGCATAATTTTATAGTTTAATTGCATAAATGAATAGCATGCCTTATGAGTTTATGAACTGATTTTATGTTAAGCATGTTTATGGAATATGTTGTTTATCGTCTCGTTTTTTGTGAGGAATTAATTATTAGCCTATATTGAGCTATAGTTTGATATATCGTATTTTCTATAAAAACCATGAATTGGTAGACTATCTGATGGATGACGATAGGATGCTAGAACATATTTTAGAAACCCCTCTTTATAGTATAGATGATGGATGACTTTATACTATGAAGTGGTTATTTATGAGAGGCATAACTATTTGTGCGTACCTAGTGGACACTATGCTGCCTGGGGCGAGGATCTGGTGTTGGCAGATAAGCCGGGAGAAATAATCCCTAACTACGGGCTGAGGGACATGGAGCAGGCATTTGGCCAGGAGTTGGTAATCTCTGGCTACAGGCGCAGAGACCACGGTGCTGGCATAAGGTCGAGAGTTATATTTATTCAATGATCTTACTGGCAGCACACCCCGCTTACGAGACGATCTGTGAGACGATTGATGTTTTGATTTCCGCGATGTTTTTTCGCGATATGTCTTTTGAGATATTTTTGGCATGCCAGGGTTTTCAGTAAACCTATCACTTATTATGTTAGTAGTTTTCTTTATATAAACTTGGGGGTTAGTATGTTGATAACTGTTTTATTATATATATATATATATATATATATATATATATATATATATATATATATATATATATATA